GATCTATGAGATTTCAATAAAACTCCTTTTTCTAAGCGCGACTTTAGATCCTAAAAATTCATTTGAATATTAAACGATCGAGTTATTTGTTCACCTTCTGAGAAGTCATATCCTCAAGATTTTTAAAAGCAAGATATTCATACTTTGGAATATGAGTTGCGACATTATAAGCTAGTTATGAAGGACGAGCCTTGATTTCAAAAATTTACACCTACTGAGTTATGCCGACAATTGACTCAGATTAGGAAGGTGAAAGACTTACATTATGGTCTAGACTGATTCATCTCGTATTGACATACTTAAAAATTCATTCGGACCATTTAATGATCGTGATATTTGTACACTTGCAGAAAAGCTATCCTCAATATTTTTCATAGCAATAACAAAATAGAGGAAAACTTTCTTACGGATTTTTTGGCACTCTATATTGAATAAGAACTTGCCCAAAAATAGATATGCATTCTTTATAGATGAACTTTATATTTCAAAACTTCATTGGGAACAATTTATGTTGTTAAAATGAAGAGAAAACTATGATCCCAAGCTCAGAAATCAACCAAACGAGCCAAGGCTCGACCCACAACATTAAACACTTGGTTGCTAGTATGGTTTTCACCTAAGTATGGAGATGAAGAAGGTGATAACAATATCACAAAGAGAGAGAAAATATGTGCAATGGTTGAACCCTCAAATAAAACACCAAGAATGGCTACCTCCCCATTTCTCCTCTATTGCGCACACCCAAATTCAAGCTCAAGTGAAACACGGCTGCAGGCAATGGAAATATAAACCCCAACATTAAGTCACTCCAATAGACTAAGAGGTAAGGTAATTGGGCCTTCAAATGTGCCAACAATAATCTAAAACCACCAATCTAATAATCCAACTCAATAACCACTACTTGAGCTAAATTCATGGGTCATCCTGAAGTGTTCAAAGTTGTTTTCGGGTCTAGCCACCACTTTGATGTCGATAAAATTCCCAACATCAATTTTTCATCATTGCTAGAATTTATTAGGTATCAAAACCCAACAATTTCAATTAATGATATCATTTAATTATTTTTTGAGTAAAGTTTGGACATGATTTATAAGCCTACTTACTCTTGCAAGAATGGAAGATTTGGCATTGTCCCTATCCCAATATATAGATTTGAAAATTATAATATAGAGGGGAACGTGTAACCTTACCTGCGTGGATTTCCAAGGCATAGTTTCTTTTGTAATCTTCTAATCACTACAAAGGAATTTCTTTACAATTAGAGAAGCGTACAGGAAACACAATTTCTCAAGGAAAATTATCAAAATTCAACTAAACCTTATTCCCTTCCCATTTATCAAGTCTCAATAACCC